TTCGCATTTTGTTCTTTCGTTCTGAGCTGTGTTAGTGGTGCCTAAGAGCTGGAGAAGCTTCTTGGATGAGAAGCGAAATGTCCTCATAGAACAACAGCAAAGTCTTCTGGCCTGTTGAAAAAGCACATTGGGACAACCATGAGCAGGATGGTGGAGAATCTCCATAGACCAGGGGGTGTCCAAACTTGGGAACTTTAAGACTTGTGGACTTCAACTCCCAGAATTCTCCCAGAATGAGATGAAGAGTGTGTAAGGGAGGAGAGAGGTAAGGGGAAGAAGAGAGGGGTTAGGAGAGAGGGCATGGGGGGAGGGGGAAGAGGAGGAGTGGAAAGGGGAGAAAGGAAAAGGAGAGAGTGTGGAAGAGAGGAGAGAGGTAAGGGAAGAAGAGAGGGATAGGAGAGAGGGCATGGGGGAAAGAGGAGGAGAGAAAGAAGGAGTGGAGAGAGGAGAGAGTGTGGAAGAGTGGAGAGAGGTTAGGAGAGGGGGAGAGGAAAAGGAGGAGAGAAGGAAGGAATGGAGAGAGTGTGGAAGAGAGGGGAGAGGTAAAGGGAAGAAGAGAGGGATAGGAGAGAGGGCATGGGGGAAAGAGGAGGAGAGAAAGAAGGAGTGGAGAGAGGAGAGAGTGTGGAAGAGTGGAGAGAGGTTAGGAGAGGGGGAGAGGAAAAGGAGGAGAGAAGGAAGGAATGGAGAGAGTGTGGAAGAGAGGGGAGAGGTAAAGGGAAGAAGAGAGGGATAGGAGAGAGGGCATGGGGAAGAGGAGAGAAAGGAGGAGTGGAAAGGGGAGAGAGGAGAAGGAGAGAGGAAGGGGAAGTAGAGAAGGATGAAAGAGGGAAGAAAGGAGGTAGGGAGGAGGAGAGAGGGAGAAGAAAGTGGAAACGGGAGAAAGGAAAAGGAGACAGGAAGGGGAAGTAGAGAAGAGAAGGATGAAAGCGGGAAGAAAGGAGGTGGGGAGGAGAGAGGGAGAAGAAAGTGATGGAGAAGGTACAAATACGGTGTGTGGAGAGCAGAGGAGCCAATAATTGTTTTGGGGGGGGGGGGTTGGTGGTAAGATGAATTGATGTTAATATTTAATAATACAAAATAAGTTGGTTATGTAAGAGTATACATGTGGTTATGTGTTATGAAAATGAAAAAATAAAAAAACTAGCTGGGGAATTCTGGGAGTTAAAGTCCATACATCTTTAAAAGTTTCCAAGGTTGAAAAATGCTATATCATTTCGGCACTGAATGCCCAAAATGGAACGATCACATATGGGCACATTACGTGCGCCAGAGTGCTGGAAACCCAAACACCAGCTGGCTGGCGTGCGCATGCCTATTTTCGGGCATTTTTTCAGGCCGTTTTTAGGCACCATGAAGCCAATTAAATCCGATTCGGATTTAACAAAAGTTTGATTGGAACACGCAGTTCTCTTCCCTTGCGAACCCTCTGTTCAACAGACACTGGACTCTTTTAATTATGTCGGCAGATAAAATTAAGCCCTAGCAAGATTGGAGAAAATTACCTTTCGTCCGGCAAATTTCAATGAGGTTGACGACATTTTCGTGTTTCAGCAGCTGCAGGATTTTAATCTCCCGTAAAGCCGTGATTGGAAACTAGGAAGGGAAGAAAGAGATGGATCGTATTTGCACGCAAAGCAGTGTCGGAAGAAATTTCCATCGGGGTTCAGTTCCAAGTGGGGGAGGCGGGGGAGGGGAGACACTGGAAACATGGAGGCTGCTTGGAAAGATGGTTTAAGGGTGAGTGGGATCATGTGGCTTGAGCTCCTGAACAGAAAAGGTGATCACATGCTTCAATGTTGGTGGAGAAGAAGAGAAGGACTGACTGAGATGGGTCTCATCCTCCCCTCCCAGAGCCCATCATCCCCTACGATCCCATCTTCCTCTCCCAGAGCCCATCATCCCCTATGATCCCATCCTCCCCTCCCCTCCCCTCGCAGGGAGCAGTAGAGCCTCCTCCCTTCGGTGTTACGTAGATCCCAGCGGGGCGGGGCTCCGAACTACGCCTCCCAGGCTGCCCCTAGGTTTTGAACCTCATGGGGCACAGGAATAATATCCTGATTGGTTGCTCTCAGAGGTCATCACTAGCTTTGGTTGAAACTTGGTGGGTGGTGCAATGAAGGGCAATGAAACGGGGTTGTTCTTTGTTATGTAGAATAGATTGGCTCAGGCCTTAATTCCATTGACAAAAGGGGGGGGGGCTACCAAGAGTGAATCTGTTTCCTGCCTTTCTCCATTTCTTTTTTTTAAGTTTTTTTAAATTTTTAATTTTCAAAACAAACACAACATATAAAATCTTCCTTTTTT